CCCGTGGACCTGGAGCTGAAGAAGGTATAAGTCCCTCTGCGGTGGGCAGCGTGTCCCGCCCGGTCCCCGCGGCGCTTGCTCCCTCCCCTCTTCTCTGGCAGCCTGGGGCCGGTTCGGCCCCCGCTGCCCGGCCTCAGACAGCGCGGGGCCGCGGCCTGTCAGGCAGCTCCTCATCGATGCTGCACCCCCCCTCCCCTCCAGGCCTTCACCGAGCTGCAGGCCAAGGTGATAGACACGCAGCAGAAGGTGAAGCTGGCTGATATCCAGATCGAGCAGCTGAGCAAGACAAAGAAACACGCCCATCTCACCGACACGGAGGTCATGATGCTGGTGGACGAGACCCGCATGTACGAGGGTGTGGGGAGGATGTGAGTACCTGCCCGGCCTGTGGTGGATGGCAGGGGCTTCCTTGCTGTGCTGAGAGTGGCTGGCTTGCTCCCTGCTTGGGAGAACCTGGCTGGTGTAGCAGAGTGGGGTAGTGATTGCAGCCCTGTACACAGGGAGACCCCCCAACTTTCGTGTGTAAGAGGCCTCTAGGCTGCTGCCCTGGGCAGGGAGCTCTCCCCTTTACAAAGAACATGCCAGCTTTCTCTTGGCACATTAATTTGTTTCATTTTTCTCATAATCTTTCATTTTTAATTCCAGCAATCTGCCTAGGAATGCAGTGAGACTTACTGGGTTTTATCTCTTGGGGTTAGCTACTGGCTGCCTTGAAGAAGGGCTGTTATAAATGTTGTTGGCTTTGTGTGGTTTTGCTTGCTGGCTCTGGTCCTGGCTGTGATGGTCTTGAGTGGACCTGTAGGAAGTTTGTGATCTAGACTAGCAGAGTAGCACTCTAATGACAAACAGCATTTGCGAGAAGGCTCTTGCAAATCTGTCCAGCTTCAGTCATTTTCAATGTAGTTTACATCAGACTCCTTGAAAAACTCCTGTGCACAGTTTACGTGCTCAGGGCTTTCCTTGCGCAAATGTTCTACAGAAATGTCCTTTGCAGTATCATGCAGGGAATGGACCTAACAGGTGTTGCCTGGATTTATTAAACCCTTGGAAGTGCGCATAAAGCTCACATGGGCAGTCCCAGTGGACTCATAAAGATGTGCTTCAGTGTGTTGGATGACTGTCAAAAGAAACACCTTAAACCAGAAGTAATGTGTTTCGATTAACTTCCACAATGCACTTCTGTCTGACTTCAGCAGGCTCTGATAGACGACCATACAAAGTGGTTTCAAATCTGAAACACGTGCTTACTTGATAAATATCACACTAGATTTCTGTGTTTCTGATTTGAGAGTACTATGATTTTTCTCTTCTGTCTCTTGTGAGTTGGGTAACAGTGATGACTCTGCTCAGCTCAGGATGTGGTCTTGCAAAACGCTGAATCTGCTCTGACTGCTGCCAAAGGGGTGATTGTATGGACCTCTTCCCCACCCTGTGTTTACCCCACCTTCTGCGTGTTGAAGTGGATGATCACAGGGCTGAGCAGTGAGCCAGGTCAGACTACAGTGCCCTGATCCATCAGACCACACAATCTCCAGATCGAGTTGTAGGGAGCTGGCAGGACTGGGAAGCCAGGAATGCTGTGTAGTTTGCCCTTTGCGAGTTTTCAGATGAAGTTGTACCCAGGCTAATGGAGGTGTTCAGCATGACAGAGTCCCCTTCTTGACTCCCAGTAGATAAACTTTTACATGTAGGTGAATTGAATGTTGGGTTTGTGTGTGGGTGCTAGTGAATGGTACCTTAAAAGGAGATAGATTTTGGTCCCTTGCAAGAGGTGACTGATTTGACCCAGGCAGGCTGTAGACATAGCAAACACTTGTGTTTGGAGTAGTCATGAGACGACTCATTGGAGTTTTTTCTGTTTGGTTTTGTCACAGAGTAGACAGATGAAGATTAGAGGATAATTCAACGATTTTTTTAAAAGGCTTTTTTTAAATCCAAAAGTACAGAATACTTCTCCTATATGGAGAATTCCCTCAAGATACCTTAAAAACGTGTGTGTTTTGGTCTTTATGATAAAGTAATCCTGCTTGTGAATCAGATGGGGGTAGCAGATGGGTCAGTGCTGGCTGAAATGCATTGTCCTGCTTTCTGCTTCTGTCTCCCACTTAGGAGTAAGAGACGCTTACCTTCTTTGTGTCCTAAACCATTTATACTTTCTCTGTGTGCAGCAGCTGTGGGAGTGACAGTCTTCTGGGGAGTCATCTTTTGCTTGCCTTTCTGTGACCAGACAGCATGGCTTAGGCATGGCAGGCAGCTCTCGCTGCTCAGGGATGGCAGAGGTGCCATCAGAGAAATATTTGTGTTATCGCAGTATTTAGAAGCTGAACTCTCCATGGGCTTTGTTGTACTAGTTGCTGTGCGAATACAGATTAAGAGAGTGCTCTTTGTCTGAATACGACTCATTCACTCATTTTTTTTAATTTTTTTTTTTTTCTCCTGCCTTAGCTTGATACGGTATTTCTGCGAGTTCTGCCTGTGGGGCTGAAGGCTGCCTCGCCAATTGGCAGCAATGCTCTGGTATGATCTGTGTCACTCCCTAGAGTGGAGAACACACACCAAGGACACAAGGCTCTTCCTGGAGCCCACTCCAACCCCTAGTAGAGAGTTTATTGCTGAAATCTGGGCTTTTAGCAAAGCAGGCTAAAACAGTCCTTGAGCAGGAGTTAAAATCCAAGGGCAGTCTGGCATCCTGTGTTTCACTGGAGACCAAAGGAGGTGGTCATTATTGTTCTTCTGGATATATAAGCCATGTTCTGTGAAATGGAATTGCAGATTTTTTAAGTTTTTTGGCTGCATTGGCTTGCACAGATGTGGGAGTTCAGCCACAAAAGGGGAATTTATGATGTCTCAATTTCTTTTGCATAGTTTAGTGTGCAGATGTTGGAGCTGTAGTGGGTTTCAGTTATCCAGAAAGGGTGGAGGTCTGCATCAGTGTTAACTGATTATTGGAGCTCTTCTGACAGCTTGTTTGAATAGCTAAATTCTTTGAAATAAGTTTTGTGCTTCTATTCCTGTACGCAATTCCTCAACTTGGTCTTTTTTTTTTTTTTTTAATATTGTAGTGTGTATAACATGCAGAGGCCTTATTGGCCTCCACATGTGGGGCTCAATTTACTTTTGCTATACCTATTTTTGATTTGACACAAGAAATGTCAGTGCCACATAGTATGAGATGATGAATTGCTGTGTACTGTACATATCTGTGAGGCTGGGCTATCATCTGAGTGGTGGCATCTTGCCAAATACATTTCAATTCTGTTACTTCATACTCTTTTGAAAGGCCTGTTACGTAGCCTGACACAACTACCACTATGCTGGACTTCTGCTTAAGCTATTTGTGAACTGATATCATCATATTGCTTTGAGAACTATGCTGAAAGTTTAAGCTTCAGAATTCTGTCTGAATATTTCAGACCTTTCCCTTTACATTCTTCTAACGCATAACCTGGACAAGACCCTTATTTACAGAAGAAAAATGTCTGGCACTTGTGCTAGGCACAGTGAGGAGAGCACTACCGTTTTTTATGCTGTGCCAAAATAGATAGTCAGTTTTGGTTTGATATTGCTTTATTATCAGTTCACGTCAACAACAAATGGAAGAACACTCACAAAAATAAAATATAAGAAAATAAAAATCAAGCAAATACTGTAGCACAACTTTATGTTCAACTGTTCAAGGTTTTCTGCAAGTATAGTATATTATTACAGCTGTCCCTATAAAATGACTTTGAGTATAGTATTTTATGGGGACAGCTCTAATAATATGATTTTTATTTTTTTTTTTTTAGGAGTGGTTCAGATTTTTGGTGGCTGAACCATATACAAGTGAAACCTGAGAGAGGATTAAATGTTCTTGATCGTTCCTGG